TGGCAGTGTAGAGGCACTTTTCATTGAAGATAGATATGCACTGGACTGTATAGCTTGGCAAGGAGAGGTGTTGGTGTTGTTATAGGCTATCTGCTCTGGGCGCCTAAACATAGTGTCGACAGGGGGATTAAGAAGCTATTGGACATCTGTGTTATGTTATTTATGGAACAGAGGAAGAGATGAGCTGCGCTTTTTTTCTTTTGTAACACATTTATTCACAGTTGCACATTGAAAGCCAAGCTGCATTTTGGTTATTGGATATTATTATTATTATTGAGAAATCACAATCTAGAAATCTCACACTAGATTGTCTTAAGCAGATTTTCATGTTGCCAGCACCTGTTTTATCTCCAACCCAAGAAACATTGACAGTGTATGGCACGTTGCTAGCGTCTCATGTTGCTGTTAGATTGTTTTTAGCTTCGCGAGACGAGTCTTGCCTTCAGGTAGAACAACCTGTCCTCACCCACACTCTTGGACACGCTTTAATTTTCTGTTTACCACACATACAGAGAGGTAAAAACATTGGCTTGGAGCTAAGGCATGCTCAGTCTAAGCTGTCTTGTGAGAGCAATGTTTCTACTGGTGTGATTGCAAAGAAATATGGACACTTTTTTATTTTTTACATTTCCTCGATCCTAAATAGTTTCAGAATGCTCTTGATCTACATCTGAACTAGTACAAGACCACATGGGAAAATCAAAGAAACTACTATTTTGTTGATTATTACCTGTGATTGCCTTGATTTTAAAAAATATATATATTTTCTATATTTGTTTTATTATGATAACATTTTTCCTATCGATTGTTGTTTGAAATGTATTGTACCAATACTCGTGCTTGAACAGAATGTGTCCATTTGCTGGTCAGTAAAATTTTGGTAAGGATTTTTCACAATGTTTTGCTGTCATTTAGAGGAAATTGAAGTCATGCCAAGATGATGGTTGCTTTGGTAACCTAAGGCAAAAATCGCATTCAAAGAAATTTTTTTTTTTTTACAGGTTACATGAAGTCTTGCATTGTACCCATCATTATAAAATCATCCTTTTGTCATATTCAGCCACCTATTTTTTGCCACTTTACTCAGTATATTAGTGTATTATCTTCTAGTGTCCCTTATTAGAAATGGTTACAGTCTTGGATAATATTCACCTGTTATCCTGAAGAGACATGCTGTAGAGTGACCCTTGGCTCTCTGCATAGCCTCGGTCATCAAAGGTGCTCTCGGTAATAAAGGAGCAATTGGTGTATTGGCTGTTGCTAGGTAACTGCATCAGCATCACTCTGGCAAGTCAAGAAGCTCTAGTGGAAGATGCAAAGGGAGAGACATGCAAGGGTATGTGACGATGTGGGAAACAGAATACAATATCAGCTGTGAATGACTGTCCATTGAGGTGTGTCTCATTATTGCTGGTCTGATGGCGCACAGTGGCGCAGGCCAATATCCGGCGTGATGTTTATTACCTAAGCTTTGAAAGCGCCAGGAGTCCACGTACTTTACAATTATGGTCCATTCCTGTCTATAACGAGCAGTGTTGGAAGTTATGTTACAAGGTCTCTGGGAAAATGGTATTGATTTTTTTTCTTAGAGTAATTTTAAGGCAAACAGGCCTAAAAGCATCTCATGTCTTTTCCTGGTTTAGAACTATCAACATAGTTTAGGCTCCGGTGGATGGGTAAGTCTATTTTTTATTTTTTTTTATTTTCCCATCCGGTGGATGGGAAAGTCTATTTTATTTATTTTTTTATGCGTGGGATTTAACATGGAATATTGACAGCAAGAGCTTGAATACATGCCTGTACAGTATTCAAGGCTCTGAATCTCTTTGACAGAAAATGACATGCCATTATTGGGTTTTGCTCAAAGAACCTCTACTAGCATCATCTGTTCTTTTGAATTAGAGTTATATGACTGTCAATGATAGGGTTATGCCGTAATAAGGTTTTTATTCAGTTGTAAATGAAATTGTCGCTCTATTACAAAAATGTATGATACAACTAGGGGTGGGCAGTATATTGAAAAATGATGCAAATTTGCTCTGAAGATTGAAAAGTTTGAATATCGTATATATCATCTTAAACAATAAAAAATTACAGCTGAGAAAAAAATAAAATGAGCAGAAACTTCTAGTGGAAACTCCCAAACAAGGGTAGTGACATCTATACACTTTTGTGGTTCATTTTATGACCTATTCACATTTCATGCGATCCTCAACCAAAACATTTACACGCAAATTTTAGTGCATTTCTGATGCATTGTTAATGTATTGTCTAAATATATATTTATAAAAATAAAATAAGATAGAACAAACATGGGACACAGCCAGGTTGCTTATAGTAGATTCTACTATAATACAATTATAGTACATTATAGTAGATTCTATTATAATTACTTGGTTTCATTGACCCTCCAGTGACAGGTGTTGGGAATAATGTTGATGACTGAGTGGGTGTCTGCAGCTCCACTGTCTACACAAAATACCATCCAGACCAGATGATTGTAAAGGGCACCAAGTAATCACTCAGCCAGCTGGGCTTGTGCTCCGACCTGCATTTCTCCTAAACTGTGCCACGATTTCTCCCTTTTAGGATGTCTATTTTCAGATATAGCACACTGAACTATGTTTATTTTCAGATGTAGCACACTAAACCATGTATGACTTTCCTTCAGCAGTATATTTCTCAAGGTAGTCTTATCATCCTCACCAGAACAGCTCAATAATTGTTGCTGTAGTACACTACAGATTTGCCCACAGGAGAAAACATCAATTTTCTCACACACTATATCTTTGTGTTCTAGTGTGTATTTACAGTTTGTTTGTGCAGCAGAGCGGAGTCGTCACTGATGGGTCAATGATGATGGCTTGCTCTTCGTTTGTCATTACTTGTTCCACTGAATCCACAGGCACTATTCATTAAGGCTGATCAATAGGACTGCGCAGGGTGGCCATCTTCGTCAACAAGTGACAGCAAACAACCATTACACTGCAACCAAACCTGCTCCCTTTATGTTTATGCATATGGTTATTTTTACTACATATATCCCGATCACTCACTACTGAGTCAAGGCACTTATACAGGGAAGTGTTATAAAGCTAATATTAGGCATACATTAAATGTGTGTTAAGCAATTTTGTCTTGCACTTATTGGATTTTCACAGAATTTGCATTAATAGTGCACTGTGTAACTTTTCTGTGTGAGAGACAGCCATCTGCTTGATGTTATGGTTTTCCCGGGATGTTCTACAGGATGTGTCAAACATTGTAATTCTGGGGTAAATTCTTGAGTTGCTAATTAATTTATCTTCCATGTTTATCTGGTTGAACTCAGTGTTTTTGGTTAGATTCTTTAGCTTCACTGCCAATAGGCAGATTCAGGCAGAAAATCAATAATTTCTTGACCCATAGTTAACCTTACCTAAAGATTTCATGAAGATCCAACCATCTCTTTACTTCCCAACAAACAAATCAACCGGCATCAGTGAAAGTAGAGCCTTCACTTCTCTCATGGGGTAATGACAATCAGTATAGAGGAGATCTGGCAGATAAAGCTGAAGGACGTAGGATGAAAGTATGTGTTACCAAGGTTAGGACGAACTGCAGTGTACACAATACTTTGAGACATCAACACCAGCTCATTTCTATTGTAACATGATCACTATGTGCAATACAGTAGGCTATCAGTCACCAGGACCATCACGCCTTCAGGTCCAGGCAGCATTGAGCGCAGCATTATGGGAAAGACAATGCGTGTCACATCTCATACACTGGCCTGGGCCCCTACTTGGGTTATCCTCTGCTGACCTCTGGGACCTGTGGGTGAACCTTCAGCTTTAGCCAAAATTTTGCTTTGCGCTGCACTAGAATCTGTGTAGTTTTGTAGTACAGAGCTTGGTAATACATAAAAAAAAAAAAAAAAAAAGCTAACCTTACTGACTCTGACAGAGTCCTCTCCCCCTTCTAGGAATATTTCTTCTCTGCATTTGACCCCTCAGGCCCATTTCTAGCAGACTTATGGAGTTTGCATTCTAAAATGATGTACCCACCATGTCAGAGGTTCACGGCACATTCTCTTGCACAAATTCTATGTATTATGAGATTTCAAAAGACCCGTGGGCTGTGTTATACAAAATTGTACCCAAACAAACAAGTAATATAGCTAGAGGAACCCCAGAATATCTCTGTATTTTTAAAATGCAGTCTGGTTACCATGCCCCCATCGTCCCTGTAAAACCAAAAAGCTCATTGGTCATTGATCATTTTGAATAAATATATTTATATATAGCCTTTCTTCCTTTTCTGCTCGTTTTTCCTATTCAATAGCCAATTTGTTTTGATACAGATATATAGATACAGATTCGCTAATCCTTTAACCTGTCAGTCCCCCATCTGAATTTCATTACAACTTGATCTCCCCAGACTCACATCTTCATAAAGTATTTGGAGAAGTATGTATTCTTAATCCCAAGCAATATGTACAGAAAATATAGGTTTTTCGTCAAAAATACTAAATGCACATTCTTGTGTTATTTTAACCTAATTCTTTGTTTACCTAAATTAAGTTAAAAAAAATCTCAGCACTGAGTCCGTGAGTCTAGATGATAATTATTCTAAAATAGTTTATAATGATTTTAACATATTAGTTGTTATTAATTAATTAACTTTCAAAAAAGTTCTGTAAAGCTCAGTGATGTAACTGCCTATTTTGGGAAATAAATTGAATGCACTTGGGTTCATATGCTTGTCCCGTTTATCAGTTTTCTATCTTGATAAGATTTCATTACACCAAATTTAATTTGCAAAAGTTTTGTATATTTTTGGCTTTGGCTTGACTGCATTTGACTGTCTGACATCTTGAACATATTTAACACAGTGCTATATTTTCCCATGCCGATCTTGTGATAAAAATACCTCCTTTGTAACATGCAGCCCTAGATACAGCAGTGCTGTCAGTCTCTCTGCTCCCTCTCATCTGCCGTGCTCCTCTTGTGTTGTTTTAGGCGTGTGCACAATGGCATCCAAACCTCACCCTCCTCTGATGAAGAAGCACAGTCAGACAGATCTGATCAGCCGCCTCAAAAGTCGAAAGGTCCTGGGAGTTGGAGGAGAGGATGACGATGGGGAAGTGCACCGATCAAAGGTTTGAATGCTCACATATTTCGGCAATTTTTTCTGTTCTTATTTTTAGTTGCAGGTAGAGTTGTTTCGATCCAATACCGATGCCAATGCTTAACTTCAGGGAAGCTGTCGATTCAGAGTTCCAATCTTAAATCATAGTGTGTGGATTAAAAAAACAACAACAGTGAGAGCAGTGAAAAATGTTCATTCTCAGAGCACATGGCTTATTATGTATAGTAAACAAAGTCCATATTAGCAGTGTTGTCAGGCAGTCTGTGCAGTTAATTTTATTAGAGTTCTGTTGCCACTCCAAGGGCTAAATGAAGGCCAGTAAAAAAGCGACACACATCTCTTTCTCTCATTATTAGTTAATTATTGTCATTATAGTTTACTAGTATACCATCTGCAGAGCCTCCAAAGTCAGTGTTTAAACTGCTTTGTGTTAGTGCTAACATTAGCCACAAGCCATAAACGACAGCGGCTTTCAAATACAAATTCTTCTGTAATACAGTGTGGTGTCACTGAAACCGATGCCTGGGAAATGTGTAATATCTGAGGTTTTGCCAAGTATTTTTACCAGTATTGATATCAGAACAGCCCTAGTTGCAGGGCTTAATTCACAAATTAAATTCACAATGAACAATTTAGATTAAATTCACCTACCAACATATGCATTTTCTTTGCTATGGGAGGAAGCTAAATAGAACTCAACAGATCAGCAGAAAGTAGAATCATTTTAGTTTGTCCAAAAACTATCTCACAGCTTTCTGTCTAAGATATTCAAATTTTCCACATCTCCAAAAGACAATTATAATGTAATAAATTTTTTGATATCTCCAACCTCTACTGAAATTATATACAAATTGCTGTACAAGGAGCAGTTCTAAGCTAATACAATACGAATAAGTACATAGCTATTCTCATTCAGTGGGTTCCACAGTGACACGCCGCTGCAGAGGGATTCATTAGCCCAAAAAGTGCTATAGATTTTGTCTAAAAGCCACAATGGACTGTTAATTGGCTCATTACCCAGACACTGTGGCGTTGCGTTTGCTGCTTATGCATCGGTGAATCCGGATCAGCTAATCCCCCTGACTCCTCCTGGTCCTTTGAGATGTGACTGGCTTCCCTGGCTCCTTCTCCTGCCTCTTCCATCGCATATATTAAATTTCTGTCTTGTAATTCTTCACTTAATTTGGTGTGTAAAGGAATATACAGAAACTTAAAACTAAACAATACTTGCAAGAGCCACTGACTTAACACATAGTCAGTCCTCTACATGACTGCAGTGTGTTCTATTTCATTAGAGGGTTTTTGAAAAATTGCGTTGAGACGGAGCACACTGTTCCGCACTGTAATATTAATCAGACCAGTGAGAGAGAGGAGCAGAAGGCAGAAGACATAAGCTGGTGGTGGGTGATAGTTTATGATGAGAAGACAACTCCCTTCTCTTCCCACTGATTTTGTTTGCTATTAGAAAACAAATCCAAATGGTAGCACCTTCCCTCAACTACCCAGAAGCATGCAGCATTGGAAAACATTTGCTGTTTTTTTATGTTCTCAAATTACTTTGGCAAATTTGGTTAATTTTCCTTACTGAGAAAATGTGCTTGTTATGTTATTATAGAACCACTTTGCTTTTTTGCCACATAAAAGTGATTTTTTTTTTTTTTGATCAAAGAGTGATACTGATTATGTGTATTTTTGCTTTTGAGCCATCCTTCAAAGCCACCCAAACTTTGAAACGGTAGGAACCTTCTCTAAATTTACAGTTCCTGGTCATTAAGACTGCTTTGCATACTGATGGTTTGTTAGGTTTAATTAGACACAGAAAGAAACTGGAATTAAGGACATTGTTGTGCAAAGTGCATACAAAAGTGCAAGTAAAAAAAAATAAATTGTTGTGCACTGTTGACAAAGACATTAACTGTAACCATAACTTCCACTTTAAGGTAATGCATGTCCCATCTGTGTTCTCACATAAAATGTTAACATGTTTAAACTAAGTAGGCTTTTATAGCCAACACTGTTAATGTTGACTTTAATCTTAATTACAAAAACATTGTGTTTGATTTGGTCATCAAGAAGATTATTACATGCAGTTTTCCAAGGTACTTGCTATGTAATGTCATTGATAATAAAATGAATAATGTATACTTAAATGATAACATGTTCTTAAAGCCTCTCCTTGGACTCAATTATGCACTGACCCTGACTCTGAAATCGTTGACTCAACATATTAATTGTTCACTTATTTTTTCCTTTAACAATAAACCATTCTTGAGTGGCCTCAGTTACTGTATCTTTGGCACTGATCTGTGTGGAAAAGAGCCTCGTGGGATTCAGACATTTCGATTTTGCAGTTTGGAAAAAATTGGATGGAGGTTGAACAGTTGGTGCTGTCCCTGTGGTCCCAGTAAACAGAGGAAGGATATGCTCTGACGGTGTCTTCCTGCCCCATTTGACTTCTCAGATAAGGCGACTTTCAGCACAAATACTTGAGTGAAGAGGGCTTTTCTATTTGTAGGACTGATGTGAGTGTGTGTCTAGGAGAGACTAGCCCTCTACCTGTCCTTTTCTTTAACAAGTATCCTCTTAGCTTTTGTGCCAAGTTGCCATCTTTGGTTATAGAGCAAATGGAGGGGTGATGGTGTGAAAAACAGAGCTCAAAAACAAGTTTTACATTGTTGTTCAGGTGTTTAGAAATATCAGAATCAGTACATAAATACAGTGACAGATGCAAGGGGCAAAACTTTCTCTGATCTCATGATACCTTTGAGATTTGTGCTAATTTGTTACCCTATTAGATTTAGGCAATATAATAATAATATTATAATAGTCTTGATAGTTAGACCATAGCAATCATACAAGATTGTCTTGCTCAAGGACACCTCCTAATGGAGCCTCTACTAGTAATCAGCATTAAAAGTAATCCCAGACTATTTTACTTCTTACTCAGATCTATTTTTATGAATCCGTAATGATTTTTATTTTTTTGTTTTTCTTTTGGAAAATTACGTTTAATCATGACTCTAAATCAAGTTCTCATTGCTTTTAGAGGGATTACTCTTGCCTGGTTTGGTTGTAAGGTCTTAGAATAGCCCTGGATTTGTTATTTTGTCATTGGTTTAAACATTTTTAATAACAAACTTTAATCAAAGTCAGACAAACTAAACAGGGACCTTTAGACCATAACATCCTCATCAGTTAGTTTATTGCCAGCATCTGCAACAATAACACATTGGAAATGTTTTGTCCCTGGTATAATTTGATTCTGTTATTTGTCAGGGTTACCCATGCAGATCTCATATTATGAAATAATAGTGCTCTCTATCTGTCAGGTGACAGGCCTGTATTATACTATTTGGCTGCCTGGTTGATGGATTCATTTCCTCTCTGCGTTTGTCATGGTTTGTAGAGTTATTTTACTTCATAAATGGACTGACTGATTGATGACAGAGCCAGACTGCAGCTGATGTGATTAAGCATCTCTTTACATACGTCTATTGTGTCATTCTTCCTTTTCCTGTTTTTTTTTTTTTTTTTTTTTTTTTTTTACTCTCTTTGGAAAGCTTTCTCACTTTGCTAATAGCTACCGCCTAGCTCTCCTGAGTATTTTTTTGGCCTTTCATGAATATTTATGACCTCTGTCCAAAATGGAGCACAGGAAGTCTTTGTGGTCATGTGATCACTTCAAGCATCAATCATTTCATGTATGAGGGAAAAAACATTCAATTGAAAGCGATAAATAATGTGAGTTAAAATTTGAATATTTTTTTCATTATCATTTATCATTATAATGATATTTATTTCTATGTGTCTGTCTTAAATAAATATGATATATTACTCTATATATTATATACATATTTGACCATGCAAATATTGGTGGTCGTTGTAATGTTGCATGTTTTATTGAAAATACTTGAAATGATTACATCTAATATGCATTTCCATCTACAACTCTGTTAAATGCTTTCAATAAGTTTCATTATGCATTGTGTAAAATGCCAGGCCTCAGAAGGCACTAGATATTGATCTATTTAACAAGAATATGCTTGTCTCCATTGACTCAGGCAGGGCTTTGTCATGCAGAAATCTGTGTTACAATTGACGCTTTGCTCTTTGTAAACAGTGCTAGCCAGAAATGATTCATCTTGTCTGACTTTGTAGTTTTTTTTATGCTTTTAGTTTTTTTTTTATTTCATTGGTTGTAAGTCTCTTTTTGCAGCTACAAAAGACTTGAAAAGATGCCATTGATGTTGTGGTTTGACAGCACCTGAAGTCTTCAATCAGCTGTGTGTGATTAAAGCAGATGTAATGGCTTTCTTCTTAAATACACATACTTAGAACGGACTTGTCCATGACCCTTTATTGAGCCTTATACTAATAGTTTTAGTTTAATTAACTAAATGACAGTCTACCTTACTTGCTACCACTTTATAATGACTAATATAGCAATGAAGTCTTACTTCATAATGAAGGATAATTTATTCAGAATGATTCAAGCTGAGTAAGTTGCTGGTTACTTAGCCTCAACTATTTATTTATTCTGAAGTTTTTGTTCATGCTTTATTAACATGTACACTTCAATTAGCCTTATTTATTACGATATGTGTTATGTTAGCCATTACTTTGATCATCTTTTTTATTAGAGGTAGACAGATTTATCAGTTGGCCAAAATATCAGGCTGATATTTTCACTTTAATTATTGGCTAAATCTCAGAGACCTATGTTTTGTTTTGGGGCCTAAACACTCGTGAAGCTTTATTGGAAAACTTCAGTGCAAGGAGATAACTGCACAAAGTGTGGCTACAAGTTAAGTTTGTAGTTCATTAAATTTACTTCATTTATAATAAAAAATTGGCGTTGCATATCGGCACAAAAATATTGGCAGAACTTATTGGCCATCATCATCATCATCATGTCTAGATTCTAAACAATGGTATCAGCATTGGCTATGACATTATTGTGAGAAATTTTACACCAGGCCAAATTATGCACTATGCTCCATGGAGGCAAGCAGGTGGCTGATGCTCCACAATTGTTAAACTAGCAAATTAACAACTACAAAACAACATTCATATGTGCTTCGTAATTGTATTTGTCATAAATTCTTCCCTTTATCCCATACACTTGTCATGCTTATTCTTTGCTGTGATAAAATAGTAGAAATGTTTATTGTGCGTAATTACCATCTCAATAGATCTGTTCTTCTCTGACATGTCTTTTTAGCCTGCTGCTTTTTTAACAACCTCATTTTTATTTACTTGCAGAAAACATTACATTACTTACACTTCCATTCAGAGCACTTTATTCTAGGTTCTCCTGTTAGCTATCAGGATGTTATCTTTAAAACGGTTCAAATGAAATGCAATTTTTCCTCTGTCTGTCATTCGCAGATCAGTCAGATGCTTGGAAACGAGACCAAGTTCGCAGTACGGGAGCCTATCGGACTGAGGTGAGACTTCTGCTGCTCCTTTATGTAGCATGTAACAGCTTATAATGAACAGACTGGCACCAGTCATCTGTGTAGCACTTTCAGTAGAGATCGACATCTTGTGGGCCCCCTGCAAACGGATGAGGAACGATGTGAAGCAGGAAAGACATTGTAATTTGTGTGTCTTCCTCACAGGGCGTGGATCCTTATCTCTGCTGTGGGCTTTACGCTTATGGCCCTGATGGTAAGTACTACATCCTGTCCATCTGCTACTCGAAATGTCAATAGGTTTTGCTCTTGATTTGTAAATAATATAGCAATAAAGTCTACAACAGATGTTTCTATAACATTAATATTATGGGGGATAAAATAATGTAGTGGTGATGGTCAGAAAAATGTAGTAAGATTTTAGAATCATTAATGATCCACTATAAAACGTACACATAAGAATTTTATAAAATGTTTCGTAAGCAATACCTGTATGCCCTTTTATTTGTACAGCTGATGCCTACCTGTGTGGTTGTCATAAAATACGTCATCAATGAAGTCAAAGTATCAATAATTATGTAGATGTTTTTTTCAGCATAGTTACTTCTAATCTTTGCCACATAGGGATCATTATATTACATTTTATTAATAATAAACCATAAAAGTAGCCAAAAAAGCACAAGTCTGTTGGTGAGGAAGGGAGGTGGGTAATAATGTGAACATCTCAAAAGCAAACCAATATAATATAGTACAACTGCATCTACAAAAAGTAAAAAGTAAAAAGTTCATGAAAGCTCATGTTGCACGATATGTCCACTTAATATGCAAGTGTTTCAGGCATGTTACATACACTACCACTAAGTCATACAGCATTAAACTCCTGAAAGAAAGACGAAAGGTCAGACATAATGTTGCATAATTGATTATAAAATGATCAGTGAGACTTCTAATGTGAACTATAGTCCTATATCACTGCGCTGTGAGCATTACCATAGCAACAGGTAAACAAATGAACTATTGTTACAAAGGACTATCTTAAACTAAAACAGAAATAACTTTTGCTTTGAACATCCATGGACAGCCAAAAGGTTGTCAGATTTAAAACTATTTTCTATTTTTAATACACGGCCTGGAGTAACAGTAGACTAAACTCCGCACCAGTGTGTTCCTTTGTTGTTTAATCCTTACTTATGATTGCTAGAAAGAACTAAATACATTTCCAGATTTTTTTGTGTTTGATGTTTTCTGTGTTTTAGTAATTATTCCAGAAATTAAGACTAAAATGTCATGTCATGCATAAAAACTAAAAGCTGAATGGTTAATTCTACTATTACACAATACTGTAGTGAGAGCAATGCTTTAAAATGGCAACTATAGCTACAATTCGCTCTTTGTAATCCATACTACCAAAAAGCTGAATATCCCCAGTGTTTAGGGCACTCTGGCTTCACTCATAAACAGGAAGACTTTGTCCGAGCTGATGTATTTTGTATGACCATTTTTGGGGGTTTCGGGGAGGACAGGAGGCTGTTGTTTTTGATTGGACAGAGCTGTTTTGTTATTGTGGCACACAGGCCCTGGTGTTTCCCAACCAGCTCTATGAACTGTTGTTTGAAGAGGAGCTGTCCACGACCAGCCTCTCAGTCCGGCTGTACGGAGGAGCACTGCTGAGTGAGTCATTATTCCTTTGACAGTGAGAGTAAAAGCACTTCCTCACACATACACCAGCTATCCCATTGTATTTCCTTAACTGTACCGACAAGAATTCACTTGATTGTAAACCATAGCAGAATACAGCTTTTTGTGTACATTTTGTGAAATAACTAGTTGGGGTAGTATAGTGTAGTATCTGCTGATGAAATTGGTAAAGCAAGAACTTAATTTGAAGCTGAATTGCTCTTTTTTTTTCTCTCTCTCTCTCTCCCCAGAAAGTGTAAAAGCAGAACTTGACAAAAATCAAACCACTGCATGATATCTTCATCTAATTATAAAACAATTTTTAGATTTTGGGAAGAGAGCTGTAAAAGGGTTGACTTCTCAATATGAAAAAGCTGTTCTAAAACTCTGCTAGTGGACAGAAAACATGCATGTGAATAGGAGCAGTGTTCCAGAGAGCTGTTACAAGTTAGACCAATTTATAGATTTAATAGAGGCTGTAGTAGTAAGTAGTAAGTAATAGTAAGTGTGGGTGTTTCTTTTAAATTATGTAGCCATTGCTTCATACATTTTCAGTAAATATTATACATATTTTCATATTTAGTTGTAAGACATTATTTTTGAAACAACAATGCTTTGACAAATGTACAGATTTGGAGTGCCTCCTCCACTTGTGGTCATTAATCAAGGAGCTCTTTCCATTTGCTTGATAACATCCTTTTAGTAATTCATTATGCTGCAATTCAAGTACTATCTTATTATAAAAATGTCCTTCTTGGCTTGGTACATGTTTTGTTATGTGATCTGGTCGCCTGACATGACAGTTCACTCTGAGGGCACACATATAGGCAATCCCTCAGCTTCTACCCTCTCATTTGGTTCTCCTTTTCATCTGTGTAAATCCCATAGGGGCACAGTGGGGGATCGCATGACAGCATACGTACTGATCATGCCTGCGTCTTGTCTGACTGTGTGGGCTGATATTACTCTACATTATAATTTATCCTGCTTACTTAGTTAATCCTCCATTAAATAGCTTTTCTGGCCCTGTACCCTGTTCAAAGCAGAATAGCAGTGCTCATAAATAGGTAGACTTGGTAGGTGGGTAATTAAGGCTCTTGTGGTTTGCTCCCTGCTTGCAAAGAAATGACGGTAGAAGATGCAAGCGTTTGGTTTAATGCAGGGCTGTCCGTCAATGCGGTGAGTCAGCCCCCCGATAGTGATTACAGGGCTGTTGATGGCGCAGTGAAGAGGCTCTATATGATGGCTGTGAGAGGCAGGTTTCCACTTGATGGACAAGCAAGAGCAAGAAAGATGGACAAGGAGGCGGAAAGAGTGATTGGTTTGTTTTATATTCAGAACTTGGGCTACTTACTTGGGCTATGGAAATCTGAATGTAAATTTCATATAATGTGAAAAAATTACATCTAAGTGCATCTAAGACATTGACTATCATGGAAGTTCACTGTGTTATAACAATGTAGATGGATAGATGGATACTTTATGGAAGTTTGGCAGCCGCAACATAGAAACAAACATAGCAACATAGCCATCCCTCCTCTTGAATTCAACATTTATTCATGTGTATTAAACACATATATTATAGATCATGAAATTTAACCAAGCAGTGTCTGTACTATACCCTGTGCTTGCTCCAATTGATTATGGTTTGACTGTAAAATGTGTTTTTATTGAAATTTAATTCCATTGCCTGTAAGATTCACCATACTGAATAGTAATTTTAGGTCTATAATCAAAAATGTAGTGGTTTTTTGACACTATTCTAAATGTAAACCGTTTTACTAGACTGAGGAAGGCATTCTGACACACAACCAGAGACCAGCAGCCCAAATTAAAGCTTGCACTTCTATACATCCAGTCCTTGTTTCTAAAGCTTTAGAAGACATTGCCATAGATATTAATTGTATTGCTCTGAACGTTTGCAGAGCAGTTTAGTAAGTTGCTTTTAAGTAGTTTCATACCATTGTGAAAATGTGTCCAACTGATGGATCTCAAAATATTGACGATCAGCTGCTCTAGATTCTTAGAAATTGACATGAGCTAAATAAAACATTTAAATCACTCTCTCCAGCCACCCCATGATAAAACAAAATTAAACAAACTGGGCAGGTGGCTCTGTGTCCGTATATTTATCTAAATGGTCAGATTTGATAAAGCAAATGAAAAATCCTTTACAAGCTAATAAATGTCAACAAGGCTGTGGATATTGGCAATAACAAAAGGTGAGGGTTTACAGTACTGTGTTGTATCATGGGCAAGGATGAGGCATCCGGTCTGCTGCAAAGGGACTGCGCAGGTCAGAAGTCTTATCAGCTCCCTAACATCGCTACCAGTCAGTGCCAGTTTCCATAGCTGTGAGAAAATGGCAGAGTAATACAGCAAAATGAACTGGAAAATAGCAGGAGTTTATTGAGTGCGGGCTTTTATCGCAATCAATGTCACAAAAGCGTTCAACACAATCAATAGGCCAATTATCACTGAGTACATAGGACTGCACACTGCAGATTAAACCACAAGAAGCTGGTTCTCATGCTTGTTTTTGTCAGACGTGTAGGAGTCGTCTTTGCGCACTTCCATGTTGTTCTGTTTTTCTTCCCATGCCCCCAAACCTTCAACTTTTTTTTCCTCTTTATCTCAAACCTCTCCAGGCTTATCCCTCATCATGTGGAACGGTCTCTACACAGCTGAGAAAATCGTCATCCAATGGACCCTGCTCAGTGAAGCGTGCTACTTTGCTGTTCAATTTTTAGGTGATTTAGCTTCTTACTCATACTATTTATTTAAGCACACTAATCCTCATGTTGCCTTACTGTAAAAAAGGCAGCAGGCGCAAGAGGATTTCTTTCAAAATTATATGGGAATGGGGGGCCCTCTTGTGGTGACAGGCATACATCACAGATAGAAACCATATAATTAAACATCTTCTGTGTCTTTTAGAGTACATTCACAACACCAAAGTTATGATAAAATCTAGACTTGATCAGGGCTAGAAAAGGACCAAACCAAATTTACATTAAGATTTTAAATTGGCCCTAATCTAGGACTGAACCAGGACCAAGGCAAGTGTGAACACATTCTTAAATTGTTGAAGGGCTTAAATCTTGAAATGTCCAGTGTCTCCTTTTAACATCAACATTCATGCTATATTGTTGGCTTAGCCATTCAACTTGGCCAGCTTTTTATTATGTTATGTTTAAATTAGGCAAAAATAGCCTCGATCAATTTTATATATTTCATTTTGTTGTTTTACAAGGTGCCATAAAAGTTTAGTGTTAACCTGTAACAAAAATAATATATCTACAGTTGTCTTGGCTTATTGGCTAAACCCCCAAATCTTTTTCCTCTCGCTTTTTCCCAGTCACATCTGTTACCCTGATAGAGCTGGGCATCTTACCAAACGCTGCCATACTGCTGCTCCTGAGCCGAGTGCTCTTCCTGGTGGTGACCATGTCTTTCTACTACCACCTGGGCCGCCGGGCAAAGAAGATCTGAGAAAACGTCCAGCACAACAGAACCAAGACTGTTTGAGCACAGACGACAAACACTGGATCAAGAAGGTTTGGAGTGTGTTTGGATTTGGACTAGGAGCATTTCTTTGGTTTCTGGATGCACCCTGCTCCATCAACAGGACCTAAAACCTGATACAACCCTCAGTGTTTAGGACGAGTGAACTTCTCTGAGCTGTGAGGTCAAATCTTTTCACACACATTCCTCCTCTGTGCAGTTTCAAGTGCTGTTATCATTGAGAAGTTGGTTGTTCATTATTATGTGTGTGCCATTACTGTTATGTAGAGAGAAGACAGATTTTTTTTTTTTTAATCATTCAGTTGCAGTTATTTTTCAGATCAAATTATTATTCTTTAAACACTGCTCATCTTACTATTGCTTTGATATGACACTGAACTCTTTGCCGCTACTACTAACACTACTTCAGTTTGCATTTTGCATCTGCACACTGCAAATGCATTAGAAGCCCTTGTGTTGGCTTGCATATATATCCTCTCTTACGTACATTAAAACAAAGAGGCTAGTTCAAATCGTATTAACTGGACATTTAAAGACATCCAATATAGGGTTTTATGATTTATTTTTTTTATTATTATTTTTTTTATCATTGATCATAAATTGTACCAAAGTGCATAATGTTTGTTTTCTAAAAAAAATATACATTATTATAGTAATTCTATTTTATGTTAAGATTAAGAATGCACAGAAAAGCGTTTAGAGGGGCTACTTACCAGGGGCTAAAGACCAGTTACCTTAACATAACGAATAGACTACCTTTACTGTAATCTCAGTGTCATAAGCATGCCATGTGTAGAGCAGACTTAAAGTGGTTCATAGTCAGAAATGTAGCACAGTTTTGTAGTTTTGTTATATTTTTTAGGCTTGCCTTAAAACAAATTGACGGACCAGTCTCTAACACTGCATTCTATTTGTTTATTCTATATGTACATATGTAAATAAATGTATTGCCCATCATGTGGTATTGTTGTGAACCAAATGGGAAACTTCAGTATTAGTTAAATTTCAGAAATCGATTTTTCTCTTTGTGTAAGTGGAATCTTGTGTTTTTAACGCATGCAATGTTATCAGCCGAAAAATATTGATTTAATTGAGTTAGGATACCATCAGCAATTGAGAATACATCTAATTAGACAAATAGACAGAATTTGTGGCAACTATATAAATCTTGTGAAATTTTCTACTTTGACGATATTGGTTTGCCTAGAATGTTCCCCAGTATACGGTAACATTAAATGTATCCATCTCCATGGCGACAAGAAAGCGGTGCCACTAGGAAAAGTTTACTTGTCAAATCTGTGGAGAGGCTCCAATTGCAGGAAGAATGCATGTTTGTCATTGTAATTTTTAAAAATTTACTTGGGAAAAAAAAAAAAATTGGGAAAAAAGATAGATAATTTTAATGTAATAATTTAGAACAGGCCAGGCGTCTCCGTGAAGAAAGACAATTAGGTAGCAGTGTTCCTTTAAGCAAAAGAACACTGCGTCTTGTTATATAAAAAAAAAAAAATAGTTTGAGCAGCCTCCTTTTAAAGGTGGTCCTGCTTGATCCAAATCACCATATAGTGCCCTGCCCAAAAAGGGAGTAGTCCTGAGGTCAGGCTGATTGTGGGTTCCTATACCGTCCAGTGCTCTAACAGATGTGCTTCTTAACATGGGTGCGCTCTGAGTTAAGATGAAACATGGGTGAGGTCTCAAATACATAGTCATTATCCCTTTTACAGTGTTTAATTACATTCAAGTGATACTTCATACCCTCTGAGCCCAATGCTCTGCTCTGACTTGCACAGTAATTATGGAGTCCATGAAAATGTCCTTATGTTTCTGTCAATACTAGGTCTCCAATCATCAGCCATGTGAACTGTTCAAAGCTAGGAGTTATTTTAGAAGAGGAGGGCCGAGGCAGACCAGTGGCTTCATTCACTCTGCCCTCTGACATATATGGTAAATATTGCTTTGCGACTCGTATCTTCATAATGTTGACCAATGGTAAATGGAGGTATTTATTCTTTGTTAAATATCTGTTTAATTTGTACTGTTGTTCATAGAAAAGCAGGTAAATTACTTCAAGTTGTAGCATTGTGTATTGTGTATATGTGCAATATTGTACCTCAAAGATGAATTGTGATTTCCACCATTTAGTAAAATAAAGAACACTATTGTTTAATATGGCTTCACTGTTAGCAGCTTGTTCATAACTATTTCATTTCAACTTCAAAGATGGCTGAGTGGGTAATATGTTTATTTGTAGGTTTTCTCAGCATTTTAAACTGCCAAATAAAAAGTCTTGTTTAAGGCCACTATCCACAATATTAACTGGAAAACTATCACTTTATTCTTTCTCAAAAGTTTCAACAAAGAATCTACTATTACGCAACTTAAACTTTTTAATTACATGAGTAACAAGATGTAAATTACTTGACATGTTTCTGCCAGCCTTCACCAGAAGTGTCATTGTCATGGTGATGTGTGAATTTATCATCTGATCATGACTCATTGTGTTTAAAAAGAAATATTGTTAAATAACTTAATAAGAAAACAAAATGATCAAGTTTGGACCTGAGTAACCCTTTTAGTGCCATGTTTTGCTGTTTGGGTTGTGTGCAAAACATGTCACAACACGATGATCATGCAATCCTTTTCCTGTGCATATGAGTGGGTTTCCTCCAGTGCTTGTGTATCTGTGTGTGTGTCTGCATGTTTAAACTGCACTCTGCCGCTCCTCGCTCAAACACACTCGAGCCAAAGAGTGAAAAGAGGGATTGTGTGCGTCAGGAAATGTGTGTGGTCGGTGCAGTTTATAAGCAACAAGCCTCCTGTGATTCCCTGTGTATACATTCCCCTCATATTTCCAGGTGTAAGGAGTTGAACCACGGTTAGTTTTGTGCATGACGTCAAAGATCTACACACCGTATATCTTGCATTTTGCCTTTAAAACTTTTCTACATTATATTTTATATATTCAATTTGCAGCAGACCAGGTTTATTTTTTTTAAATCTTGAGTTGTAGGTATTTTATTTTATTTTATTTTTTTTAAACCAAGGAGCTTTGCCACAAGAAGGAAGACTGAGTACCACCCATAGACTGTTTGGTACCACCAGATATAAAATGAGTCTAGCCATAACAAAATTAGGATAAATGAGTGTAAACTATAAATGCAATCAGTTTGAACATGGACTAACCAAAAGAAAAAACATGACAATGTGTTTCACAGTTTGATAACTTCTGTAGATTATTGGTTGCTTCACTGTATGAAAAATGCATAGACCCACACAACTGGAGTTGCAAGCCTACATTGTATTTTCTATTCTGTTTCAATTTTGTATTAACTTATTCCTTACATTATGAGTAGATTATATACGAAGCTAATAGATATCGGATTGAATGTAATCACAGATAAATAGAAAAATATGATTTACATTCATCTAAAGTAAATAAAATTTTCCCCCTCCATTTTTATTCTATGTGTATTTTTATGTATTAGTCTCGTTCAAAACTAAACGATTAAAACTGATTATGAAGTCCTTTAGTAAGTTTTTCCATTGGCACATTCTGGGCAGTAGAGGGTTAAAGGTCTCAGGTCTGCCGCTGCCACACGAGGGGGTGGGAGGACTTTCATTCACTCACTCGTACACGCACGCATTACGCACGCACACGGACCAGGCTTTTTCTCACACTTCTTCAGTACTGCAGGCGATCTCACACGATCAGGACACAGCGGACCGTCAACTCCACCACCAACTCCGCCAAACAGGAGCACAAAGTAAGTGCGTTGTATGTTCTTTGTCCTCAGATTAGCAACAAAGTACTTTAGCTTAAGCAGAAGTTGTTTAGACGCATGCTAAAGTTTGTGATCCAGGCTGAACGAAAGTAGCTTGGATGGACCTATAGATGGAGAAGATGGATCTCTAATAACTTTCTTAAAAAGCCTTTGTTAAAAAACAAAGTCGTGTTACAAGTACTAATGTAACAAGTGGTAAATTATTAACTTTCTGTTTTGGTTTCTTTTTTTCTTTTTCTTTTTTCCTTCCCCCCCTTTTTTTTTTTTTTTTTTTTTTTTAATCTCTGGCAGATTACAAAGATCAGTATGAGAATTCTAACCATTATAATCAATGAATTGGTCGGCTATTATATTTTACTAATGTATGTACATGTTTTTACACGACTAGCTACCTATTCACATATCATTTTGGTTGTGGGCCCATTCATACTGTATTTAAACTTGGAGTGATTTATTATTTTATTTTCTAAAGTCTAATTTGCACTAGGACAGGCGGTCAACTAAGTAGGCCTACTTCATTATAGGCCTGGATCACTGAGAGCCACTGTTGTTTGGGTTTACTAGATGTAAAATTCATCTTCTTGAAGCGTAAATGATTTGTAATTATGCACACAACCAGCTCTAATCTTCTTTTTCACCCCAGCCAATTTCTAACCTCATATCTTGAACCAGGGCCACCAGTGTTGTATGGGAAGGTTCCTTTTGCTGCACACTTTACCGAATCTAGACTAAACACTGACTTGTTTATAGACTTCAGGGACATACTTAACAATTAGATCTTAAATGTAGGTTTTGTCTTTGCCCCTTGTCATTGCAAGCTCAAGTTAAAGCCATTTTCTGTTTCTTGACAACATCCAATGACGTTCCTTTCTTTCCTTGAGTTTTCCCGTCACTGAAACCGAATTGCTGCTTAAAACTCCCCAAATACCATTGTGGACAGTAAACCATATCCTGTGTGTACAGATGGATAGACCTCAGCGATACAGATGTTTAAACAGGATTGGGGTCTCGTATTAAGGGCTTTAGTTGATTTGTTGGGTGATGGCTGGGGTGGGAGGTAGCTGTTATGCAAAAGGGACTTCAAATCTGTCATCCGCTGAGTGTCTCAAACTGTGGGGTGTGCACTAATGGTGGCAGTTCTCTAATCAGAAATCATGTGGTTTAAATGAAGACATGGGTTAGCCTTAACTGTGTCCTCTGTTTACTGTTTAGTTGTGGTTTAGTGCTGATCCTTATACTGGTAGCATCTCACTCCAAATTTAGGCCTGCTTTATTACCTGTTTGTTGACTTGTGCAGCTGTCTTGAGCAGAGGACTTCCTTTGAACAGATTTGTAACCTCACAGCAGGGCCATTGCAGGTAAAACAGTGGTTTAAACATTATATACAGTTTCAATCCTGGTTTAGAATTGATTCAGATATCACCAGACCTACTTATTCTGGTTTTATATACCTTCATACAATGTTAATTATTTTCAAGAGAATTTGTGACACGGATTTCCCATTCTTAAACAATAAAAGAGGACAAAAACTGAAAGAATTAACAAAACCACTCTATGCTCATCTGCAATCCAGGCCATCTGTTGCTCCTGCTGTGTTGTTCATAATCATAATCTTTTACCCAAATACAGTGTTATAATGCTAACTAAAACTAAAAATATGTTCGGGATGCATTTAGGTCAAACCAGAAGTGGTGACTAAACAAAGGGGGTGTTTTATGAAGTAAACTTGGTTGGGAAAGTTAAGTTGACTCAACATGTACTTTTCTACTAGTGTCTTGTGGTGTATAGACTTATACCAATTCAGATTTTTATTTCAGTTCTGCATAAATTTGAATATGTAATAAAAAAATTTGAAAATGTGATAAAAGTCGAGGCCCTTTCAAAGTTGAGGCGTAGCACTTGTAAACTCTTTAGCAGTACTTTACTGTCATTTGATCTGGTAAGACCTTTGCTTGGTAATATGTAATTGAGTCTAAATATACTGTGAACCTCTGCCCTATGTCTTGTTCTTAGTATACAAACAACGGTGGTCATAACTAATCCTGTTGTAATCCAGAGTGCTTCACCAACCATAGACATAAAGAGCATCTACTTTAGGGATTAGGGGTATTTGATGGGGGTGGTTTTAGGAAATAATGGTTCAGTCAGTTCATATTTCTCCATTTTGCTTACAATTTGTCAGAGGTGAAGAGACAAACGCATATAATTTTCTTATACAAAAAATCTACACTATGACAAAAACATTCAAAATTATTTCAAAAACGCTACTTGTTTGCGGCATCCAAGCTACACCTCTGCACCATTGGTTTCTTTTTCGGTAACAAGAATTTGCAAGCAAAATTAAAGACCATAATGCCTTTGTTGTAAGTTCCCCATTTGCTAGTGAAATTGGGCCCTGCAGCAATTATTGTTTTATGGAGTATGCCTTTGTCACAGTTGAGAGATGTGCCATTATAAATATGTCGATATGGTTCCATGGTGTTTCTCTGCATGGGTGTTTTTAGGTAGCATAGCATACCACAAACCCACATACTAAAAAAAGCATTGTAAATACACTGTAAAACTGTGCTATGCTATTTACTAAAAGACCTTTGGTTAAATTGTGTTAAATTAAAGATACAGCTTTAACTTTTTTGCCCAAAAAATATGTACTAATATACGGTAAAAAGCATTTTCATGTCTTATTGTTTAATTGTATGACATAAAACCATGTCTATAGAAAATGTTCAGAAGTATTTTTTTAACTTCCTATTTTCATGAAGTCAGGCTTTAGCTCAAATAAATAAATTGTAGCTTATAGTTCTTTATTCGTAGTTATGTTAGCATTACAACAGTTTCTTCAAATATGCATCCTGTGTTTTTGTGATGTAATTTTCAGTTGCACCCATTTACCAATACCATAATGATAATGTGTATTTTTGACCTTGATGACTGTATACCTTTTTACATGGGACTAAATGATACAAGTAACAACCTTAAAGCATTGTAAGTGAACATATCAGATGCTGAAATGACAGACCCTCTCATCTTGTACACAGGGAGTTGTCTTAAGAAGATATTTTCAGCAATAACCACAATGGCCGGGTTTATTTCCAGCATATGCACTGCCGCGTAGGAAAAAGCTTGGTTTGCTGTGGTAAATATTATCTTTGGATCTGTAGCGCACTGGGTTAAGTCAAAGCAGGTTTTGAGTTTTTGAGTTTTCCCTGCAGCAGTTAGTGTGTGTGGCATTGGCCTGAGTTACAGGTGTTTCTCAGAGGAAAATGTTAGTCAGAGGAAAGTCGGACTGAAGAACCCAGTGTGTCGTCATGTCCTCTCTTACACATGCACATGAAGTATTGTTACAGATGATGGTTAATTTGATCATCCAACAATACAGTAACGTCTAAAAAGGATGTCTTGGATCCGATTCATTTGTATGTGATTCATTCATAGTTTCACATTCTATGGAAACCTCTTTACAGAAGACGATATAAATCGCAATTAAAACAGCTGCCTCTGCCAAGGCACAGAAAAGATTTACTGTTCAGATTAAATCTCTTCAGAGACAAATTCTGTTTTAATTGGAGAACTGACATGCATTAACGAGAATGTTTCAAAGTATGATATTGAACTGTTCAGTTTCACATTTCTTCAGTTACAGCTGATTTTACAGCTAAAGCATGCATTCCTACCATAAACATGGCCTGGTGTGGCATGGTGGTGTCACATGTTTGTTTCTGTGGAGATTGATAATACTATATTGTGGAATATTCCAGGCAAATTGGTAAGCTGCAACTCCTGTGTCAACACCTTGTTGCAACCCGACTTGTAATTATACAGTAATTGTACTTGTAGCACTGGACTAGCACACAGGATCACATCTCTGTGGAGTCAAGCAAATTGCAGACCCTCTGAACAGAATGCCACCTTCTAATTATGGTACAAAATCCAATCATATTTTGGACATCCTTAAAAATTCTAATTGTGTTTATGACTCAGTGATGACCCTCACACATATTTACAAGAAGAGTAGTATTTGTACTTGTTCAATCTACTTCTCCATTGAGCCTCTTTTACTGAAGTAAAAAATATGTCAGTGTTATAGCTGTTGTAAACACTGTTGTGGAAAGGTGGCTGCCTTTCCTTTCCACTCTAGTGCAATCTCACACAGAATGGACGATATTGCTTGTTATGTTTACCACATCTCCATTACAGCGTAACCATGCTCGCCTTTGTGGTGGTCTTTTCCCCTCTGTATCTTCTCTACAGGGTGGTTCCTCAATCACAAAACCAAATTAGTTGACAGTGTAGTCACAAAGATGACCATATAGTCTTTAATGTGCCTATAATGTATAAATGGGCCAGTTGTTGTCTTGTAAAAGGAGTATTTAAAGCATGTTGAGATGGTTACGAGTGAGAAACTTGTGAGTTGCAGCTTTGAAGATGTTTTTAATTGTGAACCCAACTGTGCAGAAATCCCTGTATCCTTGTTCAAGCTAACTGACTCATTCAAGGCCAGCCGTCTTGCTTTGTCTTACTCATGTTGCTATCTTTCTTACTATAAATTTCCATGTAATGTGGGTGGGCACTTGTTTAGTAGGTGTTTCCTTTGTGTAGTATAATTTTTTAATATTGTGATTTTATGTAAGAAATTGTAAACATTACTTCAAAATACAGTTTAATTTAAAGATAACTAACTGGTTCAAGGTCAGCCATTTTGTTTTGTCTTACATGGCTATCTTAAACATGCTATAAATTTCCATATATGTGGGTGGGCACATGTTTAGTAGGCCTTGGACATAGTTGGATACACTTATCATTCTCTTATCTTGCTTTGACGTTTCATTTGTGTATGTTCTTGTTTTATTTTTAAATGTTGTGATTTAAGAACATTTTGTCCCGATTTCTTCCAGAACCGGCACCATGGGAAAAGGATGCATCGCTGTCACCAAGTACTTTCTCTTTCTCTTCAACCTCCTCTTTTTTGTAAGTAGTCAAATTTCTTTCTTTTATTACTAAGGCTCTTTATGAGTAAAGCTCTGCTATTGCAATTATTACTCCAGTGTTTATATTTTTAAAGAGCCCATGTTATGCTATTTTCTGAGCTACAGTATGTTGTAACGTTTCCTCATCACAAACATTCTTGGAGTTGTGTTTTGTTTCATTCACACGTGTTTAACACACAAATCCTCCATATTTAGACTGAGTTCTTCTATCAGAAAACACTCTGTACCACCTTGAGATGTCATGTGGTAATACAGGAAGTGCTCCACTGTGTTTTTAATTGCACACACCTTCACTAGAATCATGTGGAACTTTTCAGCCCTGAAATTGCCCATCTCTCTTGGACTGAAGGTAAAGGGTAGCTTTTAACTTGAAAACTACCACTTCATGACATCACAAGGTGGAACAGAATATTTTGAGCTTGTGAAATGAAAACAGCGCAATAATGCAGGTTGCTCAAACATGTGTGATTGAAACAAATCAAAACATTCCAACATGGCTAAAAGTCAGTTTTGGTGTTTGGATTACCTCATCATGTCCCTCAATATCTGGAATAATGCCATTTATCTAAACCAACTGACTTTTAACACAAATCATTTCATTTTATCTTATCAAAATACATATAAATACAGTAATCATTTTATAAACATAAGCAAGACAGAGATTTTATTATTGTCATTAAAAAACTAAAAATTCTAAACCACATGGTTTCACTGTAGATTAGATCAAAATTCTAATATTTGTGCATTTTGTGCAATATTTGTTCAATTCTGACCCAAATAATCATGTTTATATTTTAATGGAGCAATGCTACCTGATAGATTAATAGTTATTAGCTTGTTTATCGGTTGGTTACATGTGAAGAAGCACTGTATACAAGCCCAATTAAGTATCCCCTCAGTCATAGAAGGAAGTAGGTGACCTTGTGTTGATTCCACTAAACAGCAGCAGATGTGTGGTGTTTGTGGCCTCCTCACTCACAACATAAAGTCAGAGGTGAATCAGACCCCTGACGCCTGAAGACCACGCAGAGCTGTCCAGACTGTTTGACTGAGTCTGTAAACCTGCACAGGGCTTTGAAGTGCTCTCTCCAGCGGTGGCTAATAGGAAGCGTGTGTGTCAGTATATGTTCTTGTGGACACTTTATGCTGTGGAGGATGGTGGAGGCAGGAAGTGGTGGGGTAATGATGACTGCCGGTAGCTGAACAGGTCTTAAGCAGGGTCCTAATTATTGTTGTAGGCTGCTGCAGGAGAAGGCTCTGTGTCCAAGTGCAGTCTCTCATCTCTGGTCTGAGCACCATCAGGGCTCCCCACAGACTCACACAAGAGTCTTTTAATTACACTACTACAGATCTGGACTATGAATGTTTTTATAAAAAGTAGATACAGTGATGTCTATTGCCTATCACAATGGAATATTTAATATGACATTTAAAAATTACTCTTTATCAGACGTCATTACAATAGATTTAGTGCATTTCCTATAACTAAAGCTATCAGATTTTTCTTAGAATTAACTGTGATTGGTTAAAACCACCAATTCATAAATTAATTCACTCAAAGCATGATGGAAGCACTGAATCATGATATGACAATATCACCAAAAGTGCATTGTGCGATTGTCACTGGAAATTTTATCATTAAACCACTGAGTCTTGATTTTCTTATAGCAATGTTCTAGACACAGCAGAATTCTGAGCATTATTCATTTGATGCTCAGTGGTGGTGTTACTCAGCTCATGGTGCTAAGAGCTGTGGTCAGAGTTTGCCCTGTAGTAGACTCACTAACAGATGTGGCAGCTATTCTGTGCCTGCAACCACCACTGACAGTTACACTCTCACACTGATAAAATCATGGTTATATCCAAGAGTCTTGCTCAACACAAATTACAGCAGTATGTATTATGCAATAATGCTAATAGCAATAATTCAACCACCAACCTTCATTTCAGTGGGCTTCCCCTCATTTACACTAAATATTTGGGCTGGGACATCCATTGAAGACAGTTTTAGCATGATTCTTGAGGGATTTGTGTGTCCTTCTTGCACTGCTCAGTTTTTTCTGAAACACAGCTGCACAGGGCCAATGCTGTGTTTGTATGACTCAGTCTCCACTGTCCATTACATTTTCATTTGCCCACGAAAAGATCATCATGTCATAACTTACATCTCTATGAAATTTGGGACAGTAGCTTTTCCTGTATTATAATGTTAACTAGAAAAGCACTCAGAGAGCGCAGACCTCCGCCAAGGACTACCCCCATTTTTTATATAAATTGCGATAAAATTCTTCTGGATCAGATCCGGATCAGCCTTTGGAATATGAAAGAGGATCCCATTGTCCATCCCTGAGTCAAATTTCATGGGGTTTGGTCAATAATTAACCGAAGATATTAAGAAACAAAATTTTTGGCCCCATTTACCACAATGTTAACTAAAATTTCAAAGTGATCCAGAATCCAGGATTTCTTCTGGATCACCCCCAAAATGAAATCAGTTCTTCCTTTTCACATTTCCAACAAATCCTGAAAATTTCATCAAAATCAGTCCATAACTTTTTGAGTTATGTTGCTAACAGACAAACAAACAAACAAACAGACAAACGCCGGCAAAAACATAACCTCCTTGGTGGAGGTAACAATGGGCAATACATTGAATATTGTTTCTAAATATATATTTAAGTCTAATAACATGTAACAATTGTCTCATATCTTCATGCCTCACAACATGGTTCAAGACTAGCCAATCTTATTCTTGAACAACCATACACAAGACTAAAGTGTTGAGTTAGTGCCTACTGGATGTGTTGACATTGCAAATGTTGTGACTGTATTTACTGTACAGCTGCGCATGCTGTAAGTGTTAAAAAGCAAATAGAGAATTTTACCACTTCCTCTTTTTTCCTTTTCTTGTGCACTTTGTTTTGAAGGAGACAGTAGATACAGGCAAAAAACAATTTTGATGACTCCCAGATGTGACCCACAATAACTCCCGTTGGACCAGATACAAACCCGTATGTCATCCTGACCCTTCACCCATTCAATATCTCTTTGTGTCTTTGCAGATCTTTGGGGCAGTCATCATGGGCTTCGGGTTATGGGTGCTTTTTGATAACCAGAGCTTCATTGCCGTCCTACGTAAGTCTTTAAACCTCACTGCTTCAGACTTTTTGCTGTAAAAGTCCAAGTGGGTTCAGCTGTGAGAAAGGAAATAGAGATTGGCGAGGGCTGTGGAATATTTGCACAGTTTCAGTGGAATGTATCCCACTAGGCCAAGACTCTTGTAAGAACCAAAAACAGGTCACAGAAAATGGTACTTGACAGCTGAAGAGATTGCCGATAACATGAGTTCAATTATTATCAGTAGCAATATTGTTAATGATTTGAACAATAAATGCAGTGTCAATGGAACACTATGTAACTTGTGTGGGGTGGTTGTTATTGTTTTGCCAACAATACAATGGTATTTAATGTATTCATATACTCATGTAAAACCCCCATGAATGATAAAAATGACTCCAGGAAGAATAGCTGTGCTTCCACAGCTAATGGACGTCAAAATAAATAAAAAATACAAACTTCTATCTATCTTTATAGGGTTTTTTATTATTAAAGCATACCTTGAAAAACATACAGTGAGCAGGCTCTCTGCTCAGATCTTATCTCTAAATAGGACTGGTGGCATCACCTGGTGGTCATCATATAAATGGATACGTTTAAAGCCATACTGTGATACTATTCCTTTGACTAGAATGTTCCTGTGTGTAGCATTAAATTTATCACCTTAAAAGTGGTCTAAACCCACACCAAAATGTGTCCCTGACAAATGACTAATCTTTTTATAAAGCATTCTGGATACAGGTTTCTACAGCACACTAAAGTTTTGTGTTGTGTTGTAAGTCTTAGTGAGAGTATAACTTCTAAATGAAAGCCAGTTTGAGTCTTTCTCAAAAGTGCAGAGAACCAAGATGGAAACTCCACGCTGCAGTAAATCTTTGTGAAGGCTCTGTGCATGTGTCCCAGATGGAGCAGTGCAGATGCAGTTCAACTTTTCTCACAATTCAGGCTTCTGCAACTTTCTTCTGTTATATGGGAACTTGACATGGAAACCAAATATGTGTTTATACTATGTCCTATATATCTTTTGGTGCTTTGAAGTAATGTCTGAACTATGAACATACAACCTTCATTTGGCTCCATGCGATATCCTATGGGTTATGCTGAAAAATAGTACAATCCCAATTCAAACAAACTAAATCTGGGATTGACTCAAATGCAGTTGTTTGTAAAACCACATCAAAGTAAAATATATAGACTGTAATTAAGATAGTGTAATGCAATTCTCGTCCCAAGCCCTTGAAAATATCAGAAATATTAAAACGTATTTATCTTTAAATGGCAAAAACAGTAATATGTAACTTTTCAGGTGGATTATCCGTCCCGTTTGTCTTCATGGAGATGGTATTGCTTTACCAAAAATGTACCACAGTATGGTATTAAACTTATGTATCTTGCATTCATTCATTACCTTGATGCATTCTTACATAGAGCTAGGCCACCGCTCCACAGATCTGGCCCATAACATGGCCGAGAAGTATAAACTGCTTGTCTCCCTGAAAATGGAAAAGTGTAATGCAATTCTGTGGAAGATTTTAGGCAAAGCATGAGCTCTCCATGGAGACAATGAAGTGACTTATCCTCCTCCAGAAACGTTACATAGTGCACCTTTAAAAACTATTATATAAACAAAAAAACTGTTAGAGCAGATGTCTTCTCTTGATGTATAAAAAGCCCATTTAGATTTAGATCTGCACACCTGACGTAGTGTTCTAAACTGAAGGCCCCAGTCATATTTTTACACCTGAAAGTGTCACTGAAAGGTCGAGTGTTGACTGTGTCTTATCTGTTGCCATTGTAGACAGTACAATATTTATCTTCCTCCCTGTTCTATTGTTGGGAAATCCAGCTGTTCCTGTGGTGATAGCAGAACCCCGATACCCCGAGGACATCCCCGACTATCTTGGGCTTCATGGCCTCCTTTCAATGCATTTTTCATGTGTGAGCCATGAGCCGGTCAGGCACTAGCAAAAGAGGAAACTGTAATGCTGGTTTGTTGATCTTATGGAGTCTCATTTTCAGATTATAAAAGGGATTTTTTTTCCTTCCTAAATGTGAGTTTTTTTCATATGCTAGTATTTTTGGGGATTTTGTCACATATGCTTTGGAGATGTTTGAAGGTCTTGAGTGCACCAGAGAGTTTCCAAAATTGCACAAAGCATAATTTTTTTGTTTCATTTTATGTACAGATCTCCAATATTATGTAAGATTTGCCAGCTAAAATGCCTTCTCTGCCAGACGATGACTGATACTACTACAACACCTGTAGCAACTCTACTCTTTTTTGACACACACACACAAACACACACACTATACAAACCTATACAAGCCTTGGATTTATCATTCTGTTCCTCACCAAAATGCAGCCTTCCTTTTGTTTAAACAAAGTAAGCCTTCAAAAGGTCTGTGCGTTCCTCAGTGCAACATTTTAGAAGGATTGCAGACTAGTTTCCAAAGCTCTGAAAAGACAAAACTTTTTTGCCCCCCTAGTATGTTACAATACTATGAGTGGCTTCATAAACAACTGTACTCTACTATTACTACAATCACTACTTCCTCTACAGTAATAACTTACAACCATACCAAAACATGCCAAAGCTACTACTTTACTATTCACTTCCCATGGTCTGAACTGTTAAATGCAGCTGATATGTGCACAGAGCATTTACAATCAGGTTGTAACCAAGAAGTAAGTTGTCTTGCATGGTCTGCTTCGAGCATTCAATTTATTTTCTTTCATTTGTATCTTAAATCCGTGTAATCATAATATTTACATTGTCCATCTGTGTACAAGCTGAATCTGGAATCTGTGTCTCCGTCCATGTTTATAGCCAAAAAGTCGCCACTCCTCCCACGCCAGCTTTCTTCAAGAGCTCCATAATTGTTGGCTCTTTAAATGGAAAGCCTCTTGGAAACTATTTTGGAGCAAAGGCCTAAATAGAAAATTGCCATGTTACATGACAGGATTGCAGAGAATCAGAGCTTTTGCTGAGGCATATGTGGTCCAGTTGTGGATTACAATAATACTTAAGCAGATTGTATGGGACTATACTTTAAACAATGTACATAATGGTCTAGGAGAAAGTTGGAAAGACTAAGTTTCATAAATTGTGTTAAGATTAACCTTATTAACCTAACCTTATGACTTCTTCTAGGGTGGGACACCAGTCATATACAATACGATACGTGTATTTTGTTGCTCTTTTTTTCTGAAGTTTAATGCCATAATGGCAGAACATTATAGTAATAGCAATAAAATGTAAGCTGGCAGTTGACCATCCACCAAAACAAAAACAATGTGCACGTGTAAGTTACTTAATATGTACACTAAAGATAACACTGAGTTCTATTTTAAATAGAAGTAAGACTTAAAATAGAAGTTGGATTTAGTGAGTAGTAAGTGAGTTAGTAGAAATGTTAAAATATTATTACTATTTGAATTTTAAAAGAACTTTGACGACTTTGTATATCTGTATAAATACTGTACTAGTACTGTAGAATCCTTTGGTGGTAATGATAAGATCTCAATAGTGGTCACATATGAGTTCTCTCATAGGCCATTAAGATGTTGGTCCATTATGAGGAAGTGTTACTGAGCTGCTAAAAGACTTTGTTTTATTTTCTTTGAGAGAGAAACAGTCTGCTTCCTGTGATAAGTGGGACTACGTGAAGGACCCAAGTCACCAGCATTGTACTACACTTCTTATAACAATAAATCTTTTTTTTTTTTTTTACACTAAAACACATACCTTTACATTGAATATATAGTTGTTATTTTATTAGCAAAAATTGCTTTCCAGATTAAGAAGCACTTAAACCATGGAAAATAGACAAACTGCCTTAGTAATGATCAATGAACAGATGCATGCTTATGTTTCTCAGTAGTCTGGACCCATCTCCGATCTTGAACTAGGTATGGTCAGGACTATCTAAGTGGAAGATATGCCTATTTACATTGTGGAATACCAAATCCATAAACCAGGCTAAGCAGGCCTGAAATATATTAATCCATCAACGTAATTGTTATTTATTGTGTAACTATAACAACCCGATATTTTCTTATAGTGGGACAAATATGGCAGCTTTTCTTTAAAATGGTGGACAGAGTTATCTGATGGCTCCAGATTAGATGGTATATTTGGCTCAACACACTGTTTAGTTGGAGGCATTTCAGTGCGCTTTGTTTCAGGCTTCATCTGCAGACTGGGCCCAGAGTGTGTGGAGCTCAGCCAAAGCAGATAACACACACACACAAATCAAAATGTCTCTGGTTCTTTTTCCCTCCAACCTCTTCTCTCACTTTGTCACTTTGTGGATCCCACTTTCTGCTAAAGATATTCTATTAAACAGACTTTGTATGGCTTAAATTTAAGATACACTATTTAAACTTTCTTGTAGAGTCTGTTACCTGCTTGTCTCTATGGAGATGATGTTGCTTTGCCAGAAACATTCCACTGTGTAGTCTAAAATAACATATTCAGTTACAGGTGTTTCATTTCCCTAGAACATATTATAAAACAAGCATCTTTCTAGGCAACTAAAGAAGTGGGGTCATGTCTCCACAGATCTGACATGTACTTTGACCTGGTGGCAATTGCTTGTCTCTATAGAGATATATACTGTGGTACATTCCAGGCAAAGTATAATAACATCCATCCACATACAGAAAAGCAGGTGGTGGACTCTGCACCCGAAAAGTTACTTACGCCCATCTTTTGTATATTGTGGGAACAAAAATCAAGCTGAATCCATTTTAGAAATCACAAAAGATGAGGAAGCAAAGTCAAGCCTGCAAACAGAAGAAAAGAAGTTAAAAACTAATGTAATGTATTTTTTTCTTGTGTGCAGAGGAATCGTCCAACACAGTGAAAGTGGCGTCCTATATCCTCATCTCAGTGGGCTCTCTGTCTATGGCTATGGGATTTTTTGGTTGCATAGGGGCCATTTACGAAATCCGCTGCCTCTTGGGTCTGGTAAGAGTGATAACGCATACTTTCACCTTACCTAGATCTAGTCTTGTTGTCAGATATTTAACTTGAGCAAGAATTGAGTTATTATCTAAGTGTGTGGTGTTGACAATTGTTTGGTAAATGAATTTAAGTTAAATGTTGTGTGTGCAGCTTGTTTGTCTTTTCAGTGCTTTAAATACAAGAATGTGCTTATAAAATGTGCTTTGTTTGTCATAAATCTTCCACTCAACAAGGCAGTTTTCTTTTGCTAATCTAAAATCTGGATACATTGAAAGAAAATTGTAAAAAATTCACTTCACATTAGGTGATAGATTATTTGCTGTTTCAATACAAAAGGGACATCTAAGAGGAACACATGAGGAAAAAAGGTAATAATAATATAAAAAGTTCAATTTAATGTAACTTCGTGGAGGGGCCACATCAGCTACACGATTCTATGGAAATAGGAAGTCAAAAGCCATCCTTTGAAACATTATCTGTGAAGATGAATTTTATGCCTTATTGTGGAATATGATAGCCGAAGGAACATTCCCAAATAGGAGTCAGGTCTGTGTAGATGCAAGCCTGCTCTAAGTGGGTAAACCAGGGTACAGTTTGACAGGGATAAAGCCAGTGAAGAGTGATGGAGGAGGGGGGATAGGGGGGTAGGGGGATGTATGACAGGATGGGGGTGTGACCTGTGAAGCGTTAAACCTTAAACTGAAGAGCGGCGTTGACCTACTTCACACAGTAACAATGACCAGCTGGCGATGTGCTCCCCCATAGAGACACACAACACATACAATACTTAAGGAGGTCATGCGGGACAATGAGCGTTACTTTAAGACTTTAACAGATTATGGTTAAGTTGTGTCTTATCAGCCATTATCGAGCAGAATGATTTCTCTTTTCTTGACTGTGTTTAGAAAAGGCTGGACCACATGTACAATCCAAATGATAACAATACAATGGTTTGGGGTTAACTAAAAACATATATTATTCACAATAGAATAGGCTGTCACAACTTTTCAAACTCCATACTTGAAACCAATTTTAATACAACAATGATCATTTTAAAAAGTATAAAAGTATAAAAAGCGCAAGATTATTCCAAATTTTTTCAGGAAAGATTAAATTTTGTTCTGTTTATTTTTTCACTATTAATACTACTTGTTCAAATGAGTATCAAGTTGATACAGCAGGAATAGTTTTAGTATCTGATTTCCAACAACCCAACCCAACCCCATTATAGACATTAAATAATAGATTAGGCATTGAAACTAAACCAATAGCTGTAACATGTGCTCCACTTAATGTAAAAAATGCTGTCATATTCTGAAGACTTTTTGTGATTTATTGCAAATTTTGGGCTTCCAGATTACACGAATGCACTTGCAAATGGATTAGAGGATTGCCTAGAGAACTAAAACGTAATATGCAAACAGAAACTACTTTCCATCTTGTGAAATGATGCAACTACAACTGTGTATGATTTGAACCTGTTTAATTTTTTTCTATGGGCACAAATTGGTAATGTCATGAATACACCATCCATATGACCTGTAATGTTATTTAATTTCATTAAATTTTTTGTAGTAGATAAACTGACTTCTCATATAATCCCTATATTATGCTTTGTTTACAGTACTTCACCTGCCTGCTACTCATCCTCATTGCTCAAGTCACGGCTGGAGTTCTTATCTACTTCCAACGGGATCGGGTAAATAGCCTGTTGCATTTTGGTTATTGTTTTATTTATTTTTTGGCACAAGTTGCCCCAGGTTCTTGTTGACTGTTTAGAGAACAAATGAGCAGGTGGAAAGTGTGACAGGATGTTAGTGATGTAATGTGATATGGGTTTAGATTTCGTAGTCAGATGAAGGGGGTGGAGTTATATCCTGTGGTATAATAAATACACAATACACAGACTTCTCACATCTATGCATGCGTGGGTGTTTTGTGGGCTACATTTGACTATTTCTAACACTCACAGACAGTTATATTGGTATTTTTAGCTTGGCCTCATATAAGCAAGTAAATTACAACATTTGCGAGCCATGATATAGACTACACTTATTTGGTGGTGCAACGCCTCCTACTGGCAGTATCATGTATCATCAGTGGAAACACAGATTTTTTGCAAACTAAAATTCAACTGACTGCAGAAGATGAAGTTTAATTCCAATAATAGTTTAAAAAAATAATTGATATTGGTGATATATTCTTAAAATATTTTTCCATAAATGTTCAGGTCAACTTTATTTTTAAACTTAGAATTTACCTTAAACTTCTTCCCCTTCTGTTTTGAAGATGTGTTGAAATGTATTATGGATTTTTTAAATATCTTGCTACATGAACATGCTCTAAATCAATTAATTCAACTAATCTAGTTATACACATTTTATTTTGCCTGATATTTTGATTTTAAAATAATTATTTGCAAATGGACAATGCATACATAGATTAATAAGAAAGTAGATTGATTGAACAAGGTACACAAACACTGTTAATGATTTTAAGCTTTAGTAATCCTGATGTTTGCTCTACGGGGAGTGCTGTGCTTCAACAAGTCAAAGCCTCCTCCCTGGACCGGTTTCATTTATATCCATCCACCCCTCCCAGGATTTAAAAAGACTTTCCTTTGATAACCATGTTAGGATAGGTGGAGGCCTCTCTTACTACTACCCTGTTAGCCGTTAGCCCTGGAGCTTGTTTGTGAACTTGTACATCTATAGCTTTCGCGCTGCTCCCTGTGTTTAAAGGCTAACCACGAGGCCAGGGTGGTGCTCCTTCCCAGAATAGGGTGAGGCCACAGCTCAGAAGATGCACTCACTTCCATTGCCTGGTGGTTTTACACATAAACACAGCCATGGTGGGACTTAGCTGCGTTTGAGCGATGTTATAGCCAACGGGAGACACCACAGGCGGTACCACCGGAGTAGTTGGCCTCTGAAATAAAGTTCACACGTGTTGCAAGTAATTTATAGCAGAGAGGGAATGGGTGTTTTTGATCATTTTCACTAGGTCTGTACAAAAAATTTGATTCTTCTGCAAATTATTATTAGATTTGTAATTTATGTCTAAAAAGTAGGCTTCTGTTCAGACCACACATTGTAAACAACTCCAAAAATACAATTTGACAGAAGGGGGAAATCTGATCTGCTAAACTAACTGAAGAATTGCATGGATTTCATGGATCATGTCTGTAGAGATCTAAAAACTGAAAGTTTTGCAATAACAGCTTATTTGTATTATTTTTGTTTAGAAATGACATTCAATTAACTAAATAATAATGATGCGATTATTTGATTTGATTTGGTAATTGCATCTACTTAAATTGTGATTATGTTTTGATTAGGATGTGTTGTGCAGTCTTTCAAGATTAAATCTGCCTGGGCACTACATATCTTTCATAGCTATGTTATCAGTGTGTAATATGTGGAGAATAATACTCAATCTAAATATATCAGTCTAAAAGGAAACAGACATCTTATCCAGCTGACTTTAGGCTAAAGGGAAGCTAAAAAACAGGATATACAGGATATGCTTTACAGTATCTGATTTTAGCAAATTATCATATTTAGTTTTGACCTGAAGCAATTGTGTTATGAAAATTTGCCACAGTTAAGTAGAAAAGATAAAAATCTCTGTTATATTTTATGGGTTCTTCACAATAGCCTAATATAAACTTAGATTAGACTTAGATTTAGACAAACTGTATTGATCTACAGGGGAAATTATTTGGACACAGCAGCTCACATCACAATATAATATAATAAAAAACAGCAGCGCTATAAATGGCAACAATAAATTCAATATAAGTAGCATTAATCTATCTGGTGTCCAATAAGGCATAATTATACAAATGTATATGTACAAGTAAAAATAAGACATAGAAATATAGTAATCCAAATATATATCTTCCCTATATACAAGAGGAGGTAAGGAGAAAAAGTGCAAAGATGAAAGAGTGTTTGACATGACATAGGGTTATCTATAAGGGTTAGTTGTTGTACAGTTGTATGGAGTATGGTATGAATGTAGTCACTCTATTGGGTGCTCAGGTCTGAAAACAATGTGAGTCTAATCATGTATTATGTATTTTGTGTTTTCAGTTGAAATATGAGATGTCCAGCATTATCAAAGGCATGATAATCAACTACACCGGTCAGAACAGGACCACGGAGCACACCTGGGACTACATCCAGAGATCGGTGAGTTCAGTCCACAGCTTTGTTCAATGCCTCAGACTGTACCAGAACTCAAAGGCTGAGTAAGGATGAGTAATCACATAAAAAATAAACCAAACTTATGCATGGTGTCAAACAGTCGGAGTCAGGCTACAACAACAGATGACGCCTGCTCTTAGCTGTTATCACAACTGACACTTATTTTTCTAAATTAAATTACACTGTTTACATTGAGCTCATTGTTCAGTAATTCACAGTGAAGGTCCTCAGAGTCAATTATTTCTTCTTTATTTTTTATGCAAATGTTTTAAAAGTCACATGTTTTGTTTTTGTCACATGCTGCTTGGTTTGAACTTCTTTTAAGTTTTGTGTGGTTGTACATTTTATTAACTTGTTAATCAATAATCTTCTTCTGGGAAATTAACATTATAATTCTTTTATTCATTCATCATTCATTCATTTTATCATTTGCTGAGACTATGTTAACAATGTTTTTCAAACTTTCTTCTTAAACATGGCATCATAGCCTCTGAATATTCACTGCTGAGGGTGATTAATGTAAACTAGGTTAAAGAAATTTACGAATTTTAGCCTATTTTATCTGACATTAGATTTTTTGTTTTCTGTTTTATAATAATTCTGCTTTTGGTGTTTGTTCAGATGAAGTGTTGTGGATGGAACGGACCTGGGAACTGGTCTGATAACCTGGTGATAAAGAACAGCAGTCAGAGCCTATACTCCTGCTCCTGTCGAAACTTGTCTCTGCCAGGGACAGACCCCAAGGAAATGGGTCTGTGTGAGCACCTGTCCTCAGACCTGCCTGTCTACCAAACGGTAGCTGCACTATTATTATTATTATTATTATTTATTATTTTACCATGGCAAGCAACTGACTGTCATGGCTGAGACATCTTTTAAATTTACCTGTAAGAGCCGAGTCTGAATGATCACAAAAGTCAATTTCACGTATCCAAAAATGTATGTGAAAGAGATTATTAACCAGTGATTTATTTCACTTTTTCTTCTGTTAACTGATGTAAGGCTAGACCAAAGTCTGTATGCCGTCAGCACTGGCCTGCACTGTCCAGATAAAACCCGCACCTTTTCCCTGTTACATAATTTGGCTTGGACCATATGGGGCAGTGCCAACTTATTGTGCCAGTGGGGTAGTGGTTAATCAGTAGGATGCATACCAACAGCTGGAGCGAGAGTTTATGTGCTCTGATTTGTTCAAACAGAAGGAAGGCTCAGCGCTGTGGTTGTCTGGGCTAAAATTCTCCTTTTCCCTCTGCTCTCCTCAACCCTGCTAACCCTTTGTTATTCTTCCATCACACAACCCACTCCAAAGCTAACAGTGTTGTTTGAAAAAGACTTGGTTCATGTCCGGTTAGGGTCACACACAGAGTCATTCTCCATATACATAACAATCTACACAAATCAGGCATAACATTAGAACTACTTTTCTAATGCACTGAGACATTATCTATTTTCATTCATTGTTTGATTGTTTATGTGTTTGATATGACAATTAAATAAAAAAATATCATTTAGATTAGATTTGCGATTAGATATGCAATTTTCAATTTGGGATTCAGTTCACAGTGCACACTTTAAACACTTGGAGCAAGAGCCTCTTTTGCTATAAACTGAAAAACCAATTCAACTATCACATATATTTATTTCAGAACATATTTCTAGCAACAGTTCTGATATTTGACGATAGAAATAAGAATGTATTCAATTATGCTTTTAACTGCCTTCATATGTTGATAAGCCTGAGTTACAACCTTTCATTAATGCATGCATTATTATATATGATATATGATATATTATGTGCCTTGGTTTTGGCTAGAATTTACAAATCATTTTAATGTTATTCCCCCATGTTCTTCTCATGAAACATTCTTTAACCACTGCTGACCTGGAAATCCCCAAGAGCTGCTGACACACTGACCTAGTATTTTTTTACCCATTACAGTTTGACCCTAACCTCAAACCCTTGTGATAGTCACCAAAATATTGTTTGTTTGTTCTGCTGAGGGACCAAAATACTTACTGACTCTGGTCCCACAATAAGTAAATAATGTTATTATAATTCCCAGTTGGTGTATATAATTCTAAACTCAGTGTCTCTATGTTGTTCTAGGGCTGCATAACCAGTGTGGAGAAATGGTTGCTGGAAAACTGTGGAGTTATTCTGGGAATCTGTGTCGCAGTGGCACTTGTGGAGGTATCTAGTCTAACACACATTTGATGTCAGTGTGATGCTACATGTACTGCACCGAACATGCTCATTTCCATTTTCTGGTTATGATAAGATCTTAACTGTAAATGTGTCACAACTGTTACATTAGCTATGCAGAAACTTGTAAAGCTTGAAATTCTGCTTGCTATCAAGGATTTTAAGGTTCACTTTGAAACTTTTTATGGCTAAAAACATCTTTCTAATATTTGCTGTCATGGTGAAGCTGAACTAGCACGGTAACGCACACTTCCTGATTATCGGGTAATGAAGCACGTGCATGCAGAGCACATGCTTTGACCCGAAGAGCCACTTCTACAATACATCTATATCGGGGCAAGACAAAGTTTGCTCAAATACATTAGAAAAATTCAGGTACAATGCCACTGTACGATACAATATTGCAAAATATCAGACGTGACAAAGTCCTTTGAGTTTTTCCTTTTATAAAATAACTATTGTTGTATTTAGTCACATACATTCATGCAACATGTTTTTCATGTATATCCCACTGGTCAAGCTGTCCTATTAAAACCACATCTCTATCTGTCTCGCAGCTTTTGGGGATGATCCTCTCCATGTGTCTGTGTAAAAGCGTAGTGCAGGAAGATTACACCAAAGTCCCAAAGTACTGATCCTGAGTCTGGAGCCAGGATCTCACATGGACGGACATCTTCTCCCTCTCTCCCCTCTGTGTCTCCCACTTTGTACACTCAAAATAAGACAGCTGTCCTCCGTAGCTGTGCCGATTTCTCACGCCTCATCACGCTTTGGACACACTTGCTGGATGCATGTTCTCAAGTTTCAACTATACTACTATATTTGTCGTGAAAGAATAACAGTTTGACTACACTCCTGAGAATCTGTAATATTTTGTAAAATGCTAATGTATGAAAAGAACTTGTATAGCTGTATTGGACCTCAATGCAGTGCTTAACATTGTATAGTAGTGATGGCACTTTTACATTGGCAAGTGCAAAGGAGGGGGACCTTCTAAGAGACTTGAGGCTGGTTGGAGAGGACCCTAAAGCTGCAGCTATTTTGGGTGGATAGGGTCCCAAAAGGAGAGTAGTAGCCCCCACTATTTACAGGTGGTACCACTCCTCCTCCCTGTTCTCTGTCCTCCTCAAACTGTTTGTCTCTAAGTCAGATCTTAAAATTTGTTTTGTCTGTTTCCAATAGTTTTCAGCATGAAGAACGTGTGTGAATGTGATGTTGGGTTGAGTGGAGATTTCATTTGTCATCGTACTTCTTTATATAAATGTAACTCGTTTTTTTTTTATGTACATAATGATTTTGGTCAGGGATCATAGCATGACTCGGCCTGATTTGTTTGGTAAAGCTGTCCCCGAGTGTTTTGTTTCTCACACTTATGAATGACTGAATAGGTATGCCCAACTATTTTTTGAATTTGAAGAATTGAAGACATTTCAAAAGTCTGTAAATCAGCAAAAAAAAAAATAAAATAAAAAATTGAAATGATTAGGGTCAGTGAGAAAAATGCCACTTATTCATTGTGTATGATTAACATGTTGTGTGATGGTATGTTAAAACATTACAATTCAGATAACCTATTCAAACAAATTAATTTGTTTGGTGTTTGCTTGGTCATCTTACCATGGTTAAAGATTACATTGCTTTTATATATGTACAATTTATCTTTATATTTCAAGAGGGAGTTTTGTAGCCATCTAAACATTTCCTTTTACAAATTAATTAAATTATGAGACATGAAGGTTATGTTATTTTTATTGTTATTATTGTATGTTAATTAGTATTTTATCTGCTCACAAATGGTTTTGTTTAAAAAATGGACTGTGCATTTTTTTTTTTATTGAATAAATACTGATTTAAATTCAAAATGAAATTCTACAAACGTTTTTTTTGTTTTTTTTTTTTTTTTTACTTAACTTCTAGTTAAACTTTTTTTTAAAACTCAAATTATTTTATATTAGAACATATAATTCCATTGCAGCCTCACACGATTCACATGTTCATCCTCTGGCGTCCACTAGATGGTGGTATAGATTCAACAATGGATGCCCACGAGTACCAGTGAGCGGTGAGGAAGACAAGAGAGTCTGTTTGGATTTTTATATCTTTATTATATAAATTCATTAATTTATTTTATTATAGTTATATGGCATTTACATGTTATTATACTTCTATGCTTTAGATATTGAAAAGGGGAACTTAGAAACCTGTGTGTTCGTTAACTTGTGTAAAAGTTGAGCTCTGCTCTTCACTGTCTACTTCAGTTTTCTTTGGCTACATTTTTCATCATTTGCCCTTATCCTTGAAGCGTGTAAACCTGCAGGCTACTAGTGATTGCTCTGTAGCTATTTTGCTAATTAAGCCTTTTTTACATTTAACTATTAAACTCACCCTGTAGCTCTAAAGAAGAAATTAATTTGACTTCATTTGATATTTCCTTCACATAGGCAACAGACTTCATAAGGTTTTATCATCGTTTTAGCGTCTTGGCACTTTTGAGACCCAACTGAGTCACTGTGTCAAACTAGAGACCCGAATAATTGCTCTTGAAGTAAAGCAACAGGAATGATCGCTGGCTTCACTTTTTTTTTTATTTTTTTTTTTTATTTATTATAGCGCATATAATAAGAACAGGTTAAGCTTTGCTCTTGTAACTTCAGCTCAACCTTCAGTCAAAATAGGCATAAAAGTTATGACACGTTAGTACTTGCTGGGCATTCTCGAGGTCTTCCCTACATAAAATCAAAGGCAAGTATCATATAATATTATTTTCAACATAATTACATATACATATATACTGTGTATGTCAGATGCCCTCCCTGACACACTCCATTTATCTGGGACTGGTCCTAAACCTGAAATAGACTAGATTGGTTTCTAAGGTAAAATAAGGTACGTTCTACCTTTCTGATCCCTGTATAAATTCATACTTTGCATTTACACGTCCTTCCTATTGTCAGTAGCAGTGGGCAGCCTCAGGCAGTGCCCGGGGACCTATCTCCAGATCAGGTTTTGTTGGGACTAATTGAAATGGAAAATTTTGGCTTCTACAGAGTAGCATACAGCCTGAATACTAATAGATGGCCTGCTAACCACCATTACTATTCAGATACCAGTGTAGGGTCAACTTGACTATGATAAATTTCTTTAATAAAAAGTAGTTATGTTCACCTCCCATGGCTCCATCCAACCTGTACTCAGAACACTGTTAAAGATGCATCTCATTGTATTTCATGAGCAGTAGTGTAAATGCAAATCCTCATACAGACAAGACTCTATTAACGTTCCCCCACACAAACAGTCTCCAGAGAAGTGTCTCTCAAATCAGCATATGCTTTTAAATCTCCTCGGCTTGTTCGGTCCCTGTATGCAACACATGGATGCGACATCTTCATTATTCATGCTTTTATTTCATTTAGGTGCACTGGGATCATCATCTGTACCACTCCCCCGGCCCGGGACGCTCTGACTGACAGTTAATGTGGAAAGAAAACATAGGAAGTGCTCAGTAGGAAGTGTGTGCATGTGTATGTGTAGGGGTGTGTGTGAGCATAATGGTTCCAGCAGCTTCAAAACCATCTACTTTTCCACTGAAAGTCATGCATGTGTGAAAGACATCTCTCCAGTGACCGTGGAGGATATTTTTCTATAAATTACTAACTGTCTGTTTGGTATAGGTCACTCAAGGGACAAACTATACAATGAAGACATATTTAAGTACAGGATTTCAGTGAATATTTTATGTTGTTTGCTACCTACATCTACGGAACTGTGCATTTACATTATTTAAGTCACAGGTCAGTTTAGCTATAGGTGGCCAACCTATATATTGCATGTTAGCTGTTGCGACCTGAGATATCATGACATGGTTGAAGGCAAATAATAAGTAATTAGCAGCAGTAAATAGTAGTAATATTTGACCAATTCAAGTAATAAAAAAAAAAAAGTAATTAAAAAAAAAAAGTCCATCAGCAGCCACAGGACTTAATTTTCTTTTGAACACTTAATTTTGCCCAAAATATCTCCTATGACCATTGAATCTGAAAAATAAACAACTAGTGAATGCAGTGACCGAAACAGAACATGGGTTTGCTTGTTTTTGTTTTGCTCAGTAATTCTCATTCTTGAGAAATATTGTATTAAAGATGTATGTAGTTACCCCCCTTTTCTGTCATTAACTTGTATCTTTTGTTAACTCCACGCTCCACTGCTCTTCCCACACAGCAGAGGTCTCTATGGGACAGTCCAGATGCCCGCTGTTCTCTTCCTCTCTGCTTCCTGTTCACATTGTGTCAGGGACATGTTTGGACCTGACCCCCGGCTTGGACCCCACCTCCACCTGCACACTAACCCACACCATTCCCCCATCCTGCACTGCTCAACCAGCTTCCTGTTGTTTGTCTGTGAGAGGGGATCATCACAAAACAAGTGGCCCTTACACAGCAGCCTGAAAGGTAATTCTTAATAATATTTGCACCAAGTTGTGTAAAATATAGCAAAATAAAGGCAATAGCACTGATTATTTTTATTATCAAATACCTCCAATTCTACTAATAAATGAATAGTATACACATAACTATCACCGAAGTACAGAATCAAAAGTATTAGTTTTTGTTTTTAAATTCTGTGGTCTATCTTCACTTAAGATTAGGTCAGAGATATAAAGAATTCTCACTTCTTATGGTTTGGGTTTCTATTATCTATCAATAAAATATCTGTTAGTTTATGTATAATATTGATCACATTTCTAACCTTTTGCAGATATTGTTAGTTTGTTTTTTACACACTGATCTAAACCTGCAAGCCTGCAAACCTCAAACACTGTAATTATTGAAGCAGCATTAGCAAACTAAATGCTCTGTCTTATCGAGTATAAAACTGGTTTAGCTAAATATTTTACAAGCATGTTTGTAAATGCGTCGGATTTTTGTGTTCATTTTGCAGTTCATATTTCAGCCTTTTCTCAGATGTTATTGCTCCTGGTATGTTTAAATGCATTATAAACAAGATCCTACAAGGTCCTTAAAACATAAATTGCAAATCTCAAAGATATTTTCCAAAATTGTTCAGCCCTACATTGTCCCAACCATTTCTGACCATAGTGGCTTCCCTCCTCTGACAGGTGTGTTGGATTACCCCTATAATCACACTGCTCTCTCCCCCTCGCCTCACCGCTGTACAACACGGACAGAGGATGAGAGGAGGACATGTATTAGCTGTTTAAATTGTTTCTGCGCTGGGCTCCAAGTCTGCCCAGTCTGAGGGTCAGCAGGTGTCCTTCGCCTCATTTCCTGCCCAGCGTCTCGTACTATCTAGCTTGGACCCCTGAATGATGCACTCTCTCACTCATAACCACCTCTTTGCAGTTTTTCAGTCCCTACCTCTTCACGCGTTGCGGTTCCCCTGTCCTCCTGCCAGCTAATCCAGTTTGATAAAGCAGAGCTTGCGTCTCCATGCGGCCCTCTTTTTGTCCTGCCGGGAGTAAAGACCTCGAAAAATCACTCGCACTCAGCTCCACATGGACACACAAAACATCAGTGAACAGCAGCAGTTTGTAAAAAAAAGCACAGTTTGCACCTAGAGTTGTGCCGCAGTGTGGGCAGAAGTTGGCGTCAGGGAGATGAAAACAGAGCACCAGATGGTATGATGTTGGTGTGATGTTATGCTGGATGCTAAGCGTTGATTTACTGCAATATTCTATGTAATAATGGTATAGAATTATATAGTGCAACTAGCTCATTGGGTTGGTTTCAGTACAATCAATGCTTATGTATTGGTTCAATATATAAGCATATTGGATATGGGCAAAACACTTCACCAACTGTGGGCAATGGCGCATCGTGTCTGCCACACCAGTTTGCCAGGACAGTTATAGCTATAGAAGAAACTCACTACCTCCACCAAAAGTCAGGAGAACATTAAAATATGTGGACCAGACAATACTGTTATATTATCTAATCAACTTTGCAACTTGGTGAATAGAAATGCATTTTACAGTCCCATAAAGGTGATTTGATTAAAGGAAAGAGCAAAATCAGTGCTAATCTGTACCTGTTACGCTTCAGATTAAGGGGGTTCGACTTCCAGGCTTCCGGGCTCTGTCTGTGCAGAGTTTTGCTCACTTCTGGATGTATGAAGCTAAAAATGTGGATGTATGTTCACACAATCATAAAAATTATTTCGCTATTAGATATATTTGTAACAACAGTGAAAAATGAATTAGCAGCAACAGTTGCACGTAATAAGTAAACTGGTGTTCTTAAAAATCATAATTGATTAAACAATTCTCTTATGCTTTAACTGACACAACAGAAATGTAATGTGCAAATATTTTTCACTAACTATTTCAACATCTGTCGAGCTGCATCAAATCGTCTAAACCAATTATTTTTCTCACAACATCTGCCAAGTACTGCGCTAACAACCGCTTAATCAACTCATTTCCACACAACATACTGTATTGTTTTCCAAATCCCATATTATTTACAGCAGATGCTCACAGCCTGATCATATCATTTATAAACCATTCCAACTTCTCTCTAATGGTGAAATGATATTCAAATCTCAGGTGTCTTTTTCGCATAGTTTTTCAGCCATTTCCACTGAATAAAGCGCACTGGAGTCGCTGCTGTAGTTATGATCACACCTGAGGCTCAGCTGAAGGTGCTAATTATCTTTCATTGTGTCTATAAATACTTCATAATTGCAGAATAATCTTTTGTGCTGGATTGAATACTTTGGGCTGTTTGGGTGTCGTACAGTGCAGGCTTGGGGCTCAGAGAACGCTGCTTGTCTAATCTGATTGATGGAGGTTGTTGGTAGAAGATAGAGCTCTCCTGA